GATGGAGCGGACAAGTGGAGGTGCAGCAGGGCAAGTGGCTGTCGTCTTCTGCACCGCCTCTCTGACCCACCTCACTATATGACTGCTCGCTCTCTGGTGCGGGGGGCTCTGCGGCGGGATGACTCGCGACCATGCTGTTGCTGCCTTCGTTGGCCTCTGTTGCGTTCTTGGTGCTTCTCTCCGTTTGATCTCCAGCTGCCGCCCCAGTTCGACAGGTTTCGGGCGCCGCGCCAGGTGCGATGAACCTCTCTCGGGGCGGGCAGCCGCGCGCGCAGGCCCGCTTCCGCGCATCGGGCACGCCGGGCCGTTTCACCTTTCCCATTTCCCTTCCTGGCGCTTCGGCTTCCTATGGTCGGGCACGAGGGAAGGTTTAGGTTCGTCGGCGGGGACGAGGTTCGCACCGCGGCGTTGGATCGGGCATGGGCCTCAGGTCGAGCGCGCGAAATCGCGCACTCCCTCTGGCCCCCGCCTCGCACCCGCCCGCTCGGCTGCCGCTTCGGCCGTTCGCAAGTCATCTCGCCCGCCCCCCACTTTGACCTGCCCTTCTTGCCTCCTGGTGCTTCTCTCTCCGTTCGGTCTCTAGCTGCCGCCCCAGTGCGAGAGGTTTCGGGCGCCGCGCCAGGCACGGCGAACCTCTCTCTGGGCGGGCACAGACATGCGCGCCGCCCCGCGCCCGCGCATCGGGACCGTCAGGCCGTCTCACCTTCCCCGCTTCCCTGCCTGGCGTTTTCAGCTTGCTAGGGTCGGGGCCGCGTGTGGGTTTAGGCTTGTTGGGGGGGGTGCGGTTCGCAATTCGGCGTTGATGCAGACAGGGGGCGCAGGTCGAGCGTGCGAGAAATCGTGCACTCCCGCGGGCCCCTGCTCCGCACCCGCCTACTTAGTTAGCTGCCTTTTTCAGCCCTTCGTAGGTTATCTTCCCTGCTCCCCTCCTGATAAGTGTGCCTCCCCTTGCCTCCTTCCTTCCTTTTCCTGCAGCGTGGCGTTGCGCCATGTGCGCTTTTCCGCTTTCGAGGGCTTCTAGGGGGGTCAGCACGGTTGCGCCTTGAACGGGTTCAGATTTGGCGTCGCCATCTCTAGGGGGCTGCAAACCGTGGGCCTGTCGCCACATTCGAAAATTGCTTCGGAGCCTGCAGATTTCACAGTGCGACTTCCGAAACGGTTTCAGACTAGACCTCGCCATCTTTGGGGGGCTGTGAAATGCGAAATTGTCGCCACGTTCGAGGGCTGCTGGGCCCCAGCACAGCGACGCTCTATATGGGTTCAGATTTGGCTTCGCCAGCCCTGGGGACATGCGATTTGCGAAACCGTTGCCAACTTCGAGGGCTGCTGGGGGGGCAGCACGGTTGCGATCTAAACGGATCCAGATTCGACGTCGCCATCCTTGGGGTCTGCGACTTGGGACATTGTCGCCACGTTGGAAGGCGGTTGGGCCCAAATGTGGCCCCGCCATCGTCGCGATCTGGGAATCTGCCGCCACTTTTGAGGGACGCTGGGGGGGGGCAGTACCGTGATGCCGTAAACAGGTTCAGACTTGACCTCGCCATCCCTGGGCGGGTGCGATCTGCGAACTTGCCACCACCTTTGAAGGGTGCTGGGGGGGGGCGCAGTGACACCCTAAACGGATTCAGATTTGACTTCGCCATCCTTGGGAGGTGCTGCGATCTTCGAAGCTGTCGCAACTTTTGAAGGTTGCCGGGAGGGTGCAGCACGGTGATTCCCTAACCCGATTCACACTAAACCTCGCCATCCTTAGGGTGGTGCGTCATTCGGAACTGGTGCCACGTGTGAGGGCTGCTGGGCGGGCTAGCACAGTGACGCCCTAAATGGTTGCAGATGGGACCTCGCCATCCTTGGGGGGCTGCGAACTGCGAAAGTGTCGCAATTCGTGAAGGCTGCTGCTGGGGGGCAGCACGGTGACTCCTTAAACGGATTCAGATTCAACCTCGCTGTCTCTGGGGCGCTGCGCCATTCGAATCTCGAGCCACGTGCGAGGGTTGCTGGGGGGTGGGCAGCACAGTGACGCCCTAAACGGTGTCAGATCAGACCTCGCCATCCTTGGGGGGTGCGAAATGCTAATGCGTCGCCACTTTCGAGAATTGCGAAGGGGGCAGCACAGTGACGCCGTGAACGCATCCAGGTTAGACGTCGCCATCCCTGGAAAAATACAAACTGTGGAACTGTCGCCACATTCGAAAAGTGCTGGGGGGGCAGCACAATGACACCCTCAACGGATTCAGATTTGACCTGGTAACCGGTTTTCACGTATTGATTTGCCGGTCGGCGCGGGCCCCCGAATACCCCTCCCCCCCCCATGGAGTAGATCTTGGCTGTTTCTGGCGCCTGTTTCGAGCAGGTGGAGCCCCTACCCCATAGGACGCACGGTTCCAAGCAGCCGCAGTAAGCAGAGGTCTGGCTCTAGACCTCTCCTTAGCGCGGCTGTTTGGAGCCGTGCGACTGCAACTGCTCGAAACAGGCGCCAGAAACAGCCAAGATCTACTCCATCGGGGAGGGACGGGGGTGGGAGGGAGGGGGGGGGCGAGAGCCCGCACCGATCGGCAGAACACTGAATAAAAAAGCGATCCGTGGGGTGGTGTGAGCTGCGAAGCCGTCGCCACTTTCCAGGGCCTGCTGAGCGGCCAGCACGGTGACGCCACGAGCGGATGCCGACTGGACCTCGCCACCCCCGGGGAGCTGCACACTGCAAAATTGTCGCCACTCGTGGGAGCTGTTGGGTCCAGAGTAGACCTCGCCATCCCTGGTGATCGTTTTCTTATTCACTGTTTTGCCGATCGGCGCAGGCCCAACCCCCCCCCCCCCTCCCCCCCCCCCTGGAGTAGATCGTGGCTGTTTTTTGGCGCACCTTTCGAGCAGGTGGTGTCCCTGCCCCACAGGACGCACGGTTCCAAACAGTCGCACTAAGCAGAGGTCCGGAGCCAGACCGCCCCCCTCCCCCCCAGCCCTTCCGCCCAATGCCGAGACGCCGAACAGAAGCACGCTCGCATTTGTCGCCGCTGTGTTCGGGCTGTGGGGCCCAGGGTAGGCCTCGCCATCCCAGGGGGCGGCTGCGAATCGAATTGCGAAGCCGTCGCCGCTCTTCATGGCGCCGACATCGCAGAGCGGACTTCGCTCGGAAGACGATGGGATGGACCCGGACTGTCCTGGAGAATTTCGCTCCGGATTACGAAGCGAATTTCGTGCGGATTGTTTTTGGCCAGGAAGGCAGACAAACAAATCCACGTTAATTCATGCCGTTTTTCGCTCCCCGAGTTGGGGCTTCTCGTTGGCAGAAATCCACACACAGATCCGCTGCAGCACGTCTGCGAGGTCGGTGCAGTGAAAATTGTCGCCACTTCGGGGGGCTGTTGGGCCCAGAGTAGACTCGCCATCCCTGAGGGGGCTGCGAATTGCCAAGCTGTCGCCACTTTTGAAGGCTGTGACGGGGGCCAGCAGAGTGACGACCCGCTGGGGACTCAGATTGGACCTCGCCGTCCCTGGGGGGAGGGCGAGCTGGGCCTCGCTAGAAGTTCTGAACAGCTCATCCGTCTGGGCGCCGGGGCGACATTGCTGCTCATCAGTGAGCTACTTGAGAAGATCGCCGCCATCATTTTTCGTCCCCTCTCCCTTGTTGTGGTTCTTTTCCTGCTTCACAGTCTCCCTGCAGCTGTCGCGTTGACTTTCGGGCGCCACTTGCAATCTTTTCTTGCCCCTCCTTCCCGCCCCAATTCCTCTCCGAGCCTCAGGCTGTGCACCTTGTCCTTCTATTTATGTCACGTGGGTTGTGCAACGCGCGCGCACTCGATGCAATGTGTACAGCAATTGGCGGCTCCTGTAGTGCCAACATCCAAAGATAATGTGGGCCAACGAATCGTGTCATTTGATCCAGGAGTCCAGGTGGGTTGGGTACTTCGCAGTTCAATTTCCAACACCTGTCGCCCGGAGATCTGGACGGCAAATTATACACCGCACGTTGTCCTGCGGCGTTTCTGCGAAAACCTATGGGACAGGGCCCAGATACCTCAGTGTACATACGCTTGGTTCCCATTGTCCTCTGCTTCTGCCACAACCGCCGGAGCGGCGGATCGATAAAGTTCGAGGCAGAAACGTATTGCATGTTTTTTTTTCAGTCGGCACCGAGGCAGAGTCGGCTGCACCAGCGCTCGAGCTAAACGGGGGCACCGAGAAGCGAATTGGCCAGCATGCAAGAGCGGGGGGAGGATAGACAAGGCGGCCGCGGAGGGGGGGGAAGCAGAGGCCACTCGGAGGCGGAAGAATTCTCACCAGAGTGTGCTGGCGCGGCCGGACCCGCCAGTGGGATCCATGGCAGCTGCAGGGCCGCGGCCCTGGGGCACCCACGGGCGATCGCATAAACTGAAATTTCAGGAGTTCCGCGTGGACCTCCGACAGTTTAGGTTCATGCTATGTGGTTGTTCCTCTATTGTGCTCCGCTTCTGCCTTCATCATTTGAGCCGCAGGCCTATAGGGGCCATCGTTTGAGACTGCCTGCCTCGAAGGTCATCAACGGAGGCGGTTTCCCGCCATGACGAAGCTCTCGTTGGACACCCCGTTGAACTGTGTGATCCTACCTGTCTGCATTCCTTACCACTTGCTACAAGGTTGCCAGGCAATTCCTGTTCAAAGCGGGGCCTTCGCCTCCATAGCAGGCCCATAGGTGTTGTTTCTGTTCGAAAGGTTGGCGCTTATTGTAGCCAAGGGGAAGGCCTGTAGTGTTTCGCGGGGGGGGTCTAGTGTTCTTGTATTGCAGCGTCGTCGATGCATGGTGGGTTCACTCTGGCCTTGCCACTCCTTCTGTTCCTTCCCCTCCGCTTCTTCCTCCTCCTCCTCCTCCTCCTCCTCCTCCTCCTCCTCTTTGCTCCTCCTCCTCCTCCTATCCCACCTCGTCTTCCACCTCCTCCTCCTCCTCCTCCTCCTCCTCATCTTCTTCCTCCTCTCCTCCTCTTCGTCCCCCGCCTCCTGCGCCCCTCGCGCCCGCTCGCCCCCAGGATGACCGCGCGTGGGGCGTGTGGAAGAACGTGACCATCACCGCGGTCGGCATGAAGAACGGGACGCACATCGCCGCAACCGGGCAGCCCGGCTACATGTCCCTGTGGCGGGCCCCGTCTCCGCCGCCCCTCTCTGCTCCCGCGGCCTGCCCGCCTCCCCTCCCCCCCCCCGCCCTAGCCGCCGCTGTCTCCCCGTCTCTGGGTCAACGCTTGGGGGGGAGAGGCTCGTGGGGGAAAAGCATCGGCCCCCAATCGCCCCTGGATCGCCGATGGGGGCCCGATGGCCCACCCCGCTCCAGGAACGAGCGGTTCCGCGATGGGGGGCCTATGCGGATTCGCTCTCGGGTCTTGGAGGTCTCTGGGGCAGTCTTGGGGGCGTTTGGGGGGGGCCTCATGGTTTGTCATGGGGCCCTTTTGGGTCGTCTTGCGGGCCTCTTGGGGGCCTCCTGGGTCGTCTTGGGGCGATCGGGGGGGGGTTGTGCGCCAGCCTCAAGGAGTAGGAAGCCCGAAAGAGCGAAACATATAAAACTATTGAAACGCATGAGAAGCATCACGGATTGTGACCTCTGGAAGTCCTTCTGGAGCCCACGTGGGGCGTCTTCGGGGCCTCTTGGTCCCGCTGGAGGACATTTTGGGCAGTCTTGGGGCCATCTTTGCCGTCTTGAAGGCGTCTTTGGGTCGACTCTTCTTGGCCGTCTTGGAGCCATCTTGGTCGTGTTGGAGGCCATGTTCCGTTTGTTGATGGCCTGTTTGGCAGTTGTTGGCCCTCTTGGGGCAGTTCTGGGTACCTCTTGGGCCGTCATGGGGCCATCATGGCAGCCACTTTGGCGTTCTTGGGGCTATCCTGGATGTCTGTTGGGCCGTACTGGGGTCGGATAGCCGCAAGGGGGCAAGCGTACATTGCATCCAGAAACCTAAGGGTCATCTCTGATTTTCGCTTCTTCCGGCCTTCCTGTATGTCCTCTTGGAGGCCTTTCGGGCCGTCTTGGAGGCCTCGTGGGGGCCTTTTGGGCCGTCTTGGGGCATTCGGATGCCAACTTAGGCCGCCTTGGTTGCCTCTTGGCCTCCTTGGGGGGCATGTTGTTGCCATCCAGGGCTCTGGTTTAGCGCTGGGCAGCCGTTTTTGGGCCTCGTGGGTCGTCTTGGGCGTCTTGGGGCGTTTTGATGCGTTTCGGGGCCTTCTTGGGGCGTCGTGCCGGCCTCTTGGGCAGTCGTGGGGCCACCTTGGAGGTATCTTGGGCGATCGTGGGGGCCTCTTGTGCCGTCTCAGTCCGTAGGAAGACCAGTTTGAAGCAAATGCCAAAATCCGTCAAGAACCTGAGGCACATCACTGATGTTGGCTTCTCTGGGCCTTCCTGGAGGATCTATTGGATGCATTTGGACCCGTCTTGGGGGCCTCTGGGGCGATTTTTTGTGACGTCTTGGCCATGCACTTCTGCGGCAAGCCACAGGGGGCGGCGGATCGAAGACGCCTACGGCGAATCACCGCCGCTCCCTGCCTGTTTGGAAGCGCCTCTGTGGCTAAACGTTTGGTCTCAGCTTTGCCACGCTATCGGATTATTTGTTCCCCCAGCCGCTCTGGCAATTGTTGGGGAAACACTTGGGGGCGAATGCGAGGGAGGATCAGGAGAGGGAGGAAGATGAGAAGGACGAGGAGGAGGAGGAGGTCTCCAGAGGAGCCTCTTGGGGTACGTTAGGGGCCTCCTGGGAGCTTCGTGGGGCCTCCAGGAGGCGTCTTGGGGGTCTCCATGGCCTCTTTGGGACCTTTAGGACATTCTTGGGGACCTCTGGCCGTCGTAGGGCGTTCCTGGCCCGACAGACGCAGTCGGGAGCCCTTCTTGGGGGCCTCCCCGAATTGACTTGGAGCCCTCGTGGCGTGCTTCATGGCCATCTTGGAAGCCATCTTGGACGTCTTGGAGGCGTCGTGGTGCCCTCTTGGGCCGTTATGGGGCCATCTTGGAGGCTTCGTGGGCGATCTTGTGGCGAACTGTGGGGCCTCTCGGGCCGTCGGCAGGCCGAAAAGAAGCAAACTCAACAAATCTTTCAACCACCGAAGGACAATCTATGACTTCTGCCTCTGCAGGCCTTCCTGCATACCCTTTTGGAGGCCTCTTGGGCCGTCTTGGAGGCTTCTTGGGGGGCCTTTTGAGCCATCTTGAGGCCATCTTAGGCCGTCTGGGGTGCACCTTGGGCCGGCATGGAGGCATCGTGGGGCAATCTTAACCATCCTGGAGGCCATCTTGACCATCTTGGAGGCCATCGTGGCTGTCTTGGAGGCGTCTTAGAGGCCATCGTGGGCCATCTCGGCGGTCATAGAGGCGGTTTTGCAATTTGTTCGGCGGGTTGTGCGGCCGCCGCAGTGGACCGAAGCCCCGGGAGGAGTTATCTTGGAGAAAAGCCCAAGCCAACACCCGTCAGAAGTTCGGCACGCCAGGCACCCTTGTGGCAAGGTCACGGAGCGCGGCGGATCGAAGACGCCTGCGGCGAATCACCGCCGCCCCATGCCTTCTGGAAGCGCCCATGTGGCCGAGCGTTGTGGCAAGAGCTCCGCCAATCTATCGGACAATGTGTTCCCCCAACCGTTGGGGAAACCCTTCGGGGAATACTTGGGGGAGGATGGCGGGGAATATCAGGAGGAGGAGGAGGAGGAGGAGGAGGAGGAGGAGGAGGAGACTGAGGAGGAGGAGGAGGAGGAGGAGGAGGAGGACGAGGAGGAGGAGGAGGGGAGGGGACATCTTGGGAGCCTCTGGGGACACTCTTGGGGCCTCCTGGGGGCTTCCTGGGAGCCTCTTGGATGCATATTGGAGGCCTCGTTAGGGCCTTTGAGGGTTTCTCGGGAGCCTCTTTGGCCGTATTGGTAGGCTCCTGGCGCGTCTGACGTTGTCGGAAGCTTTCTTGAGGGCCTCTCTGGGCCGACCTGGGGCCCTCTTGGGATGCTCCGGGGCCGTCTTGAAGGCTTTCTTGGGCGTCTTGGAAGCATCTGGAGCCGTCTTGGGGCCCTCTTGGGGCCGTCTTGGGTGCCTCTTGGGCCGTTCTGGGGCCGTCTTGGAGGCCTCTTGGGCGCTCGTGGGGCGGTCTTTGGGTGCTATGGGCCGTCTCGGGCCGTCAGTAGGCAGAAAAGAAGCAAATGCAACGGTCCTTCGACAACCTAATGCAAACCAATGATTTGGGCCTCTTCGGGCCTTCCTGGAGGCCCTCTTGGAGGCCTCTCGGGCCGCCTTGGGCAATATTTGGGCAATATTGGGCCGTCTCGGTGGGCTCCTGGCCCGTCTGGCGCCGTTGGGAGCAGTCTTGAGGGCTTCTCTGGGCCGACCTGGGGCCTTCTTGGGGTGCTCCAGGGCCGTCTTGGAGGCTTTCTTGGGCGTCTTGGCAGCCTCTGGAGCCGTCTTGGGGCCCTCTTGGGGCCGTCTTGGGTGCCTCCTGGGCCGTTCTGGGACCGTCTTGGAGGCCGCTTGGGCGCTCGTGGGGCGATCTTGGAGGCCTCCTGGGCCGTCTCGGGCTGTCTGAATGCCGAAAGGGAGCGAGTGCCCAAAGAATTGAACAACCAAAGGCAAACCAATGATGTTGGCCTCTTAGGGCCTTCCTGGAGGCCCTCTTGGAGGCCTCTTAGGCCGCCTTGGGCCATCTTAGAGCCATCTTGGGCCGCCTTGATAGGCTCCTGGCGCGTCTGACGCCGTCGGGAGCCGTCTTGGGGGCTCTCTGGACCGACTTGGGGCCCGCTCGGTGTGCTTGAGGGCCGTCTTGGATGCTTTCTTGGGCGTCTTGGATGCCTCGTGGGCCGTCGTTGGGCCCTCTTGGGGCCGTCTTGGGGGCCTCTTGGGCAGTCCTGAGGCCATCTTGGGGGCCTCTTGGTCGCTCTGGGGACGATCTTGGATGCCTATTGGGCCGTCTTGGGCCGTCGGAAGGCCGAGAAGGAGCAACTACCCAAATCCTTCAAAAACCTACGGAAATCCATGATTTCAGCCTTTTCGGGCCCTCCTGAAGAAACTCTTGGACGCTTCTTGGGCCTCCTGGGAGGCCTCTCGGGGGCCTCTGGGGCCGTCTGCGACCGTCTTAGGGGGCTTCCTGGCTGAACGTGGAGGCATCTTGGACTCTCGACGGCAGTCTTGGAGGCAATAGTTGACCATCGTGAGCAAACTTGAGGGCCATCGTAGCCGTCTTGGAGGCCATCTTGGAGCCGTCGGGAGCAGGAACAACCTTTGCAACCATTTCTTATGGTCCCTTTCGGATGGCCCGCGGGCTGGGCTGGAGCCCAAGGAGAGAGCTCTGTGGGAAACATTATCCCGGCAAAGCAACCTAACAGCGATGTGTAGGAGCATATCTGGAAGCATTCCCCTTAAGATTCAGATGATAATCCAGTTGTAGAATTCTGCTGTTCTCGCAGTCGTAGTCGCATTCGCGATGACAGTCGCAGTGGCAACGGCAGCAGTCACAGTCACAGCCTCCTCAGCCTGCCTCAGCCTCAGCCTCAGCCTGCCTCAGCCTCAGCCTGCCTCAGCCTCAGCCTCAGCCTGCTTCAGCCTCAGCCTCAGTCTGCCTTCAGCCTCGGCCTCAGCCTCAGCCTGCCTCAGCCTCAGCCTGCATCAGCCTCAGCCTCAGCCTCAGCCTGCCTCAGCATCAGCCTGCCTCAGCCTCAGCCTCAGCCTGCCTCAGCCTCAGCCTCAGCCTGCTTCAGCCTCAGCCTCAGTCTGCCTTCAGCCTCGGCCTCAGCCTCAGCCTGCCTCAGCCTCAGCCTGCCTCAGCCTCAGCATCAGCCTGCCTCAGCATTCAAAATGTGGCCCGGGAATGGAGTTCTGGGAACTCGAAGAACACGAAGTGGCCTACAGTTGGCTCCGGGCATTCAAAATCATGCGCAGGAATGGAGTTCTGGGAACTCGAAGACCACGAAGTGGCCTACAGTTGGTTCCGGGCATCCAAAATGTGGCCCGGGAATGGAGTTCTGGGAACTCGAAGACCACGAAGTGGCCTACAGTTGGCTTCGGTCATACAAAATGTAGCCCGGGAATGGAGTTCTGGGAGGTCGAAGAGCACGAAGTGTGTGACTGTTGGCGAAAAGCGAGCCCAGCTCTGTTCCCGGTTCTCCAGAATGTGTCCCGGGAATGGAGTTCTGGGAGGTCGAAGAGCACGAAGTGTGTGACTGTTGGCGAAAAACGATTCCCGGTTCTCCTCCCCGGCACCCGCCCAGACCCCCTTGATGAGTCATGATGCTCTCTTTTGACCCTACTAGAAACCTATCAGCAAACGCTGTTAGGTAAGAACCAAAATCAAAACCGAAAGGATTCAGCACGCCAGGCACCCCTGTAGCAAGCCAATAGGGGGCGGCGGATCTAGCAGTCTTCGGCCCAGACCGCCACCGTGGCTCTCAGAGGCCTCTTGGGTTTTTGTGCTGGAGCCTTGGGACGCCTGGAGGAGGAGGGAGAGGAGGAGGAGGAGTGGAGGAGAAAGGGAGGCGGAGCTGGCGGTCTCGGGGGCTGTCTTGAAGGGAGGAGGAGGAAGGAAAAGGAATTATCCCGGCAAAGCAACCTAACAGCGATGTGTAGGAGCATATCTGGAAACATTCCCCTTAAGATTCGGATGAGAATCCAGTTGTAGAATTCTGCTGTTCTCGCAGTCGTAGTCGCAGTCGCGATGACAGTCGCAGTGGCAACGGCAGTCGCAGGCACAGCCTCAGCCTCAGCCTGCCTCAGCCTCAGCCTCAGCCTGCCTCAGCCTCAGCCTCAGCCTGCTTCAGCCTCAGCCTCAGTCTGCCTTCAGCCTCGGCCTCAGCCTCAGCCTGCCTCAGCCTCAGCCTGCATCAGCCTCAGCCTCAGCCTCAGCCTGCCTCAGCCTCAGCCTGCCTCAGCCTCAGCCTCAGCCTGCCTCAGCCTCAGCCTCAGCCTGCTTCAGCCTCAGCCTCAGTCTGCCTTCAGCCTCGCCTCAGCCTCAGCCTGCCTCAGCCTCAGCCTGCATCAGCCTCAGCCTCAGCCTCAGCCTGCCTCAGCATCAGCCTGCCTCAGCCTCAGCCTCAGCCTGCCTCAGCCTCAGCCTCAGCCTGCTTCAGCCTCAGCCTCAGTCTGCCTTCAGCCTCGGCCTCAGCCTCAGCCTGCCTCAGCCTCAGCCTGCATCAGCCTCAGCCTCAGCCTCAGCCTGCCTCAGCATCAGCCTGCCTCAGCCTCAGCCTGCCTCAGCCTCAGCCTCAGCCTGCTCAGCCTCAGCCTCAGCCTCAGCCTCAGCCTGCCTCTGCCTCAGCCTCAGCCTCAGCCTCAGCCTCCTGCCTCAGCCTCAGCCTGCATCAGCCTCAGCCTCAGCCTCAGCCTGCCTCAGCATCAGCCTGCCTCAGCCTCAGCCTCAGCCTCAGCCTCAGCCTGCTTCAGCCTCAGCCTCAGTCTGCCTTCAGCCTCGGCCTCAGCCTCAGCCTGCCTCAGCCTCAGCCTGCCTCAGCCTCAGCCTCAGCCTGCCTCAGCATTCAAAATGTGGCCCGGGAATGGAGTTCTGGGAACTCGAAGAACACGAAGTGGCCTACAGTTGGCTCCGGGCATTCAAAATCATGCCCAGGAATGGAGTTCTGGGAACTCGAAGACCACGAAGTGGCCTACAGTTGGCTCCGGGCATCCAAAATGTGGCCCGGGAATGGAGTTCTGGGAAGTCGAAGAGCACGAAGTGGCCTACAGTTGGCTCCGGGCATCCAAAATGTGGCCCGGGAATGGAGTTCTGGGAAGTCGAAGAGCACGAAGTGGCTTACAGTTGGTTCCGGTTATTCAAAATGTGGCCCGGGAATGGAGTTCTGGGAGGTCGAAGAGCACGAAGTGTGTGACTGTTTGCTTAAAACGAGCCCGGCTCTGTTCCCGGTTCTTTTCCCCGGCACCCGCCCAGACCCCCCTGTGGAGTCATCAGATGCTCTCTTTTGAATCCATTAGAAACCTATCAGCAAAAGCTGTTAGGTAAAAAGAAGAAGAAGAAGAAGAAGAAGAAGAAGAAGAAGAAGAAGAAGAAGAGGAGGAGGAGGAGATGGAGGAGTGCCTTTCTGGTGCCTGCTGGCGGTCGCGGGGGCTTTCTTGGAGGGAGGGCACCTAGGGCACCTGCGAGATCCCCAGTCTGGCCCTCAGCCGTCTTGTGGGCATTTTGGGCACTTCCTCGTGGTCTGGTTTCCGTCTTTGGGCGATGCTCGGGGCTTCCAGGGCCGTCTGGGAGGTCCGTACAGGGTTGTGCACATAGGTTCGACACACATGTCAAGATGTGCGCACATGCATAGATATAGTGTGTGTGTGAGACATGCATAGATACAGTTCGAGAGGGAGAGAGTGAGAAAGGAAAGAGACAGAGAGACAGAGAGAGAGAGAGAAAGAGAGAGAGAGAGAGAGAGATGAGTTCGGCTTTTCGGGCCAGCTCGCAGGGCTTGTGAGACGAGTCGGAAGGCACCCGAGGAGGCGCCGAGACAGGCCCGCGGGGTTGTCAGAATTCTCTTTTGGAGAATCCAGGTTCTGGGCCTACCAGCGCACCACGTTGGAAGAATCTCCACACCATTGCTCGGCGGAGGGGACACTCCAGACACTGCCTATAGCACAGTGGTGGACGTCCTGATCGGCAGGGTTGGTTCTTGGTTGTCGCGCTGACGTGCTTTAGGAAGTTCTGCATCATACGTACAAGTTCGTTACAATAGATCGCGCATGATCGATACCATTGCGCTGTGCTGGCGCACGCAGATTGCATACGTCTCCGCGACACTGTTTTCCTTGGGATGAAGTGCTTTATCCAGTCTGTGGTCAGAGTCTTTGGGATGCAGTGCTTTATCCAGTCGCGCTGCCGCGCAGGTCCGCCACCTCGCTCGGGGCGGGCGCTTGGGGCACGGAGCGAGGGCCGGGAGGAGGGGGGCGTCAGGGGCTGGATCCCAGGGACGTCAGCAGACCACTTCGCCGATCTTGGCCCGGCCGGTCCCGGGCCCGAGGGCGGTGCACACGCCTCCCTGGCCATGCCAGGAGGAGGCCCACGAGTTCCCCGACGGGGGGCCTCCCCCTGCCCGGCGTGGTGGTACACTTCGCCCTGCGTGGAAGTCTTGGGGGGCTCGACGTGCCGCGGGCTTCTCGCGAGGCCACCTCTGCACCCTGGCCCTCCTCGGTCCATCCTTGCTCAGGGGGGCTTCGGCACCGCTGACCGCTGTGCCTCTCTCCTCCTCCTCCTCCTCCTCCTCCTCCTCCTCCTCCTCCTCCTCCTCCTCCTCCTCCTCCTCCTCCTCCTCCTCTTCCTCCTCGTTGGTCTTGACTCTGCGCCTGTGTCGATTACAGGCCTCTTGACCCTGGCTTCGATCGAGGAGCCCCGAATCGATTGTAAGGTTTGGGACTTCCGCCCGTTTTGTCACCGACGAGGGCACAACGCCCTACCGCGCCCTGCGTCCTCCATTTCTGATGCTCAGTCGACCTTGACATGCGCAGCCGCCGCCGCCTCTCGAGGTGGGCGGCCAAGCGAAAGGTGGTGCGCATGCACTGGGGGGCTTACAACAACTGGACGGCCCGGACGAACTATGTGCCGACGACCGTCCCGATCTCGCCCGGCACGAAGATGTACGCGATGAGCATGTCGCCTCCCGCGCGCATGCCATGCTGTCTCCAAGTCCCGAGAGCAGAAGTCAGGGTTGAGGCGCGAACTTCGTGGAAGGAGGGAGGGGAGTGGGAAGGCGGGGCCAGAGGGGCCAAAGCAGCCACGAGCTACTCCAAATACGTACGCCCCACGGGTGCTTCGAACAGGCCCCAAGAAGACTCCCAGGGAGCCCCCCCCGAACCCAGAGAACATTCCGTGCTGGCGGGCTCAGGTTTCCCGCGAGGGGGCCCGCTGTGGTTCTCGGCATGCGGGCTCAGTGCCACTCTGGCCACGCCGCGCATGCTCCTCGTTCCACTTCTTCTTCTTCTTCTTCTTCTTCGTCGTCCTGGCACCTGACACAGGGGAACGAAAAGTGACAAAACATAAAAACTCGGCGGTCCGCGCGGATTTCTCGGATCGGCGCTGGACCCCCCTCCCTGGCGCGCGGAGCGCGCTAGGGGCGGCGCCGGAGGCGCCGCCGGGGGGCCCCAGCGCCGATCCGAGAAATCCGCGCGGACATCCGAGTTTTGATGTTTATGCCACTTTTCGCTCCCCCTATTACACCTGGTGGCTCGAAAGTTCGTCCGAACGTAGCCCCCCCCCCCGCCACACACCAGGGCCGGTCGGCCCTGAGGGGGGTTGGCCAAGTCATCGCCAGGCGACCCCTGGAGCACCGCTGACAGGGCCACCGGCAGACATGCTGAGTGCAGCGCAGTGGACGGACACACAGACAGAGGGGAGGAGAAAGAGGGGATATGGATTCGTCGTCCTCCTTCTCCTCCTGGAAATCCTGAGAGTTCCTAGGAATCCTGGGCAGTCCAGGAAGCGAGCAAAAATCATCAGCAGCCAGGGTGGCCATCAGAGCGAGGCGCCCCGAGGCCTTGCGTATTGCCCCCAGCAGCCCGTGCGAGGCCAGCGGGGGGCGCCGCCGAACGACGCGGAGTGAAGAGACGGTTGGGCCCGTACGGGGTCTGGGCGCCCCGATCGCCCGTCCCAGGCATCGGGCGTCTCGAGAAAATCGAGACGGAGGTTTTTCGTAGTTTTGGGCCTCCTGGGGCCCTCGCCCGGCCTCGGGACCGTCAGAAAACGATGCGGGATGAAGAACCGGCCCCGGGGAAGTGGTCGGGAGGTCGGGGGCCAGCGTCTCGAGAACATCGGGACGTCGGATGTCTGGGATTCGTCGCCGATCGGGGCACGGCGCCCCGACCTGTCAGGGAACGCTGCGTCCCCCCAGCAGGAGCTCGTCGCCAGCGTTGATGCCGGGTCGTTTCTCTTCCCCCCTTTGAGCCGTTCCCCCCCCCCCCCCCTGCTCGGCTCACCTCAGAACGGTGCTGCTGACGAGACCTCGGCCCGTACGTTTTTGCTCGCAGGCAAAGCAGGGAAGGAGGTAGAGGACGAGGAGAAGGAGGATTGGGCAAGGAGGAGAGAGGAAGGAGCATGAGCGAGAGGAAGAAGGGGGCCCTTTTGAAAACCCACACAGCCTCCCAGCACCTCGTACAAACCCTTACGAGCAGTGCCCAGGTCGCATCTCCTCCTTCCTCTTCGTCCTCCTCCCTTACTCTTAAGTCGGGCCTTTCCCCCTGCAGGAGGAGTATTCAACAATAGTCAAAAAATAGTCTGGGAACGATTTTCCCATAATGTTCTGTCATTTTAGAGAATTGTTTGACATTTGAATGTTTCGTCCAGGATCTGCCTGTAGGGGGACGTGCCCGACTTAGCCTTACTCGCGTCGTACCCTTCCCTCTCCATCCGTGTTGTCGTCCTCCTCTCTTCTCCTCCGTCTGTGTCCTCCTTCTTCCCCCCTTCTCGCCTCCCTCCCTTTCCCTGGGAGGGGGACAAGAAGGACGACGAGGAGAAGGACGAGGTGGAGGAGGATTAGGGGTGGTCTGAGGAGGCGTAATAAGAGAGGGAGGAGGGAGGAGGAGGAGGAGGAGGAGGAGGAGGAGGAGGAAGACAAGGAGGAGGAGGAGGAGGAGCAGGAGGAGGAGGACATGTCGGAGGAGCATGACAAGGGAAACATTGAGGAATACTACGTGGAAAACTTTGAGGTCAAAAACGGTAAGGAAGAGGAGGGATGGGGGGGAAGAATAGGAGGGAGGATGAATGGGGGCTCAACAGTTTGGTGACCCTGAGGTGTCTCGATGCTGGAATGGGCTGCTGGGCTCCAGGGGAAAATCATAGTTGGAGGGTCCTCCGTCTGCTCATCCACCCTTCTCTAATTCTATGTTACTCCTCTTCGGAATTGCCCTCCTCCCTCCTCAGTGTTCTTCGTTTCTGCTTCTACTGAGGTCCTCGCGCACATCGCCGTCGAAAATGATACTGGTAAGAAGTCGGAGGAGGGAGGATGGAGCAAGAGGAGGAGGGGTCATAGTAGGAAAACACGTTTGGACGCGACTTGGGATGTTTGAGTGGTTTTGGGATGCTCGTTGGTTTATGGGTCATTGGTCTCGTCCTCATCGTCGTCATCTGCCTCTTTCCCCTTTCGTTTCGTGATCCTTCTCATCCTCCTTCGTATCGTGCATTCAACCTCCTCCCTTCCCCCACATTCCTAATACATTATCCCTCCTTGCTGCTCGCCCAGAATAATGGTTCCCTCATTCCTTCACCATGCCCCTCCTCATCCCCTTCCCCTCATCCGCGCGCTCCTCTTCCCTCCTTCCTATTCCATTCCCGCCTTCATCATGCGTCCTTTGCACCCATTCCTCCACACTCGTCCCTCGCGTATCTTCCTTCCTTCCTGCCCCCTCCCGCCTTCTTCCCCGCACTGCCCATCCACCTCCGCCATCCATTGTCATAGTTCTTTGCTTATCCCCTCCATCTGCCCTCCTCCAGTGTTATGTGTCATCGTCTCTGCTTCTGTCATATCCCCTCCTTGCTCCCTCGTCCCGCCACCTCTGCCTTTGCCTCCTCCTCGCCCCATCCCTCGTTTCCTGATCTGTCCCTTCAGTGCCTCTCTCCCTCCGTCCTCCTCCTCCTCCTCTTCCCTGCTCCCCTCTCCCTCCCCACATCTCTCCTTCCTCCCTTCCCCTCCTCCCTTTCTCTCCCCCTCAGACTCGCAGTGCTCTCTTCGACTGGTTCGGATCAGCGGTGCTCGGTTGCTTCAGCCATCGCTCGGTTATGGAACGGGCACTGAAGTGACGCCAGGGCCGAGCCGACGGGATGCGGCAGCGGTGAGGCCATCTTGGAGGCTTCTTTGGCGATGTTGGGGCGATCTTGGTCCGTCTTGGGCCGTCAGAAGGCCCAAGGGAAGCAAATGCACAGATCCTTCAGAAATCGCAGGGAAATCTACACCTTGTGCCTCTTCACGCTTTTCTGTCTACCCTTATGGAGGCCTTTTGGGCCGTCTTGGAGGGCGGTGCCGTGGCGAGTTTGGAGCACGCCCCCTGCACAGAAAGACCGCAGAAGAGGGAGCGGCATAGCAGGGCAGCGCCTGCCGCTGCCAGCGCCCGACACCCCAGGTCGGGCACCTACGCCGGCGTCGTGTGGGCCGGCGAGGGCAAGATCCACCACCTCTGCCACACCGCAGA